TCTTGCTCAGGCTGGTTTTGAACTCCTCAGCTCAAACAATCCATCCGCCTCGGCCTCCCAGAGATCTAGGATTACAGGCGTGAGCCACCACGCCCGGCCTGAATGTTATTTTTTGTTTCTGGATTAACTATAATAAATACATATTTTATAATGAAGTAGTTGTAAAAATGTCTTCTCAAGAGTTTATTCCCTATCAAATCAAATGTTTATAAGGTAACAGAGGAAGCTCTTAGGGGTGTTAGTAAGAATTAAAAGTGTTCTCTATTTCCAATAGTTTGTTATTTTCAGTTTCTGCAATACGTATCGCTTGTTTTTAAACTAATTTATAAAAGAAAATTTTACAGAACCTATGGAACTGTTAATTTAAATACTGCAATATTAATTTTCTAATATTGATTATAATAAACACATAACTATTACATTTTGAAGTCCACTGTGTTTGCAGAACGTAAAACTGTTCTGCATACCATACAAATCACATTTTAGGAAACATGAATTAAAATCTGTAAAATTCTAATCTACAACTAAAGGACACGGGGAGCACTAAAGGGAGGGAAGGTCATACCTTTAACCCGCATTTGGGTGAGGCAAAGACATAAAGTTTAACTATAATGTTTGTACCCTCACAAAACCCTGGAATAATAAATAAAAAAGAAAAAAAAATCTGTAAAATTCTGAGAAATCTGATAGACAAAATAAAACTAGATCTGAGAAAGATAGGAGGGGAAGGGTTGAGGAGAAGTTAGTAGATAATCATAGGATAATTTTAAGTATGTCAATAGTTGGAAGAAAAGCAGTGAGCAAGGAGAGCTGATAGAGCAAGTCCCCAGTTAACTGGGCTTACTGGCACAAATAAAAGTGGTAGTGTTGGAAAAGAACAGAAAAGCCTTTCTGAGTTGGGAAGGTGAGGGAGAAAAGATGGGTGAAGACAGAGAAACTGTAAAGTGAGGAATCCATTAGATTAATAGAACCACCCTTGAGCCACCCATTTTAAATCAATCAGGAAAAACATAACCCCTTATATACAGCATGGAAAACCATGTGTACCAAAATTCATTTATGGAGAACTTAAAAAAATAAATCAGAGATACATTGGGCCAACAGGTCAATTGTCTCACAGTTAATTTGCTTGGTAAATTTCCCTGGTCATCTGCTGTACCTCTGTTAATTGTATAAGGACCAATTTTAGGAGGTTTAATAGAATCACTGGGGCTATCCTACAATGGCTTCTGTGATTTCCAGATTTTTCTTGAAGGGAATTCCTTGAGTGGCAAACACTTAGTCCAGGTAGAATTCTGTAAAAGCCAAGGAACATTTCATTTATGAGAATTATTCCTGTAGGCTACATTTAAACAAATAGGGCCAATGAAGATATAGCTTTACTTATTTACTTTGGCTGGGCACGGTGGCTCACACCTGTAATCCTAGCATTCTGGGAGGCTGAGACAGGAGGATTGCTTGAGGTCAGGAATTTGAGAGTGGCCTGAGCCAAGAGGGAGATCCTGTCTTTATCAAACATTGAAAAAAATGAGCCGGGTGTGGTAGCCCAAACCTGTAGTCCCAGCTACTCAGGAGGCTGAGGCAGAAGGCTGGCTTGAGCCCAGCAGTTTGAGGTTGCAGGGAGCTATATGATCATGCCACTGCACCCTACCTGGGGCAACAGAGCAAGACTCTGTCTCCAAAAAAAAAAAAAAAAAAAAAAAAATTTACTTTATTAATAATCTGACATGAAACTTCTTTAAATAGCAAAGATACTCTAGTAAAAGCATTAATTCACTTGCAGCTAAAAATTTATTTGCCCAAAGCTAAACGTATATGCCTTGCTCTAACTCTTTACACATTTACACATTTTCCTCCCTTCCCACAACTGGCTAACTTTTACTCATCTTTTTCATCTTGGAAGCTTACTCTAAGCTTCCAAGTTACTAGCTAAGGTCTCCTATTATTCTCTTCATACCATTTACCACAACTGTAATTAGTTTTTTTATGTAATTCTTTTAAAGTATATGTTCCTTGACAGACTGCAAGTGTCATAAGGGAAGGCAGAGGCCCCGTGTGTTGTGTTCTCTGCGATACAGCACCCAGCAATACAGCGCCTGGCCCATTGTAAGAGTCCAGTAAATATCTGTGACATCATTTAAGATCTCTGTTGTTAGCAGAATACAATCTTGGTAAGACACCCAAGAATCCTTTGCATACACATCCTTGGCTAAACTCTAGGAAGCACTGTAGCTCTCAAATCATAGATCCGGGTACGATTTCTTGCAAAGATTCCAATAACTGGGTCTTGTCCTTATAAGGACACAGTGACAGCAAAAATTTGAAACAGTTGAATAGCAATCTTTAAATTATTGCATCTCGACATTTCCATTATCTACATCCCCTTTTCCAATGTACAGAGATAAATGGGAGGGAAGGCAAAGTGAAATATAAACTCCTTAATACACTCTAAAATAAGGATTACTAGAAAGAGAGCTGCTGTATCTGCCACCATAAAAAAATGGAGATTTGAAACACTACTTGCCATCAAGCAGCCCAAAAATGATCTAACAATTCAGCATTACAGGGAATAAGACTTTAGAAGTATGTGAAGAGTGACCAAAACGTATCTTTTAAGGATAGTTTCACAGACAAGGAAGATGTTAAGAAGAAAAAATGTGGGAATACAGGACTGGGCATTTTTTCACTTTACAGCAATGCAGGGACAGGCAGGAGGAAGAAAATGCGACACAGAGATGCACGATATAGGAAAATGTGCTCATATCCACTAATAAATACTGCACACTGACAAGAGTACTTTACCAAAATTGAAAGAGTAATCAGTTGGTAATCAAAGTGGGGGAAAGAAGAACTATTAGATCTATGCCTGACAATGCCACACTGAAAGTAGGAAAGAGAAAGGGGGAAGGGCACAAAAACAACTCGAGTAGCAGTATCTATAAGGTAGAAACAGTGGCCAAAATAGGAAAGCTCAAGGTACATACGCCAGACAACGGTCTGTTAGTATGGCAAAAAACAGCAGCACAGAGAAGCATGCCGTAAGATGGAAAGACATATGGTACCAGCAGGGAGAAGATACAAGCCTCGAGGGCAGTAACACAGGAAGCATTCACAACTGACTGGAGCTCATAGCTTGCTTCACTACGCGTTTTTTTTTTTTTTTAGAGACAGTGCCTCCCTCTGTTGCCCAGGCCAAAGTACAGTGTCGCCACCTGCAGCCTCCAGCACCTGGGCTCGGGATCCTCCCGCCTCAGCCCCCAGAACAGCTGGGACTAAAGGCAAGCACCATCATGCTCGGCTAACTTTTTATTTTTCTGTAGAGACAAGGTCTCATTATGTTGCCCAGGCTGGTCTCAAACTCCTGGCCTCAAGTGATCCTCCTGCCTCAGCCTCCCAAAGTTCTGGGATTACAAGCATAAGCCACTGGGGCCAACCTGCTTCACTACTTTTAACTGACTCTTCTCCCTCTGACTGTACCAATCTGCCCTAGTACTTTTAAAGAGCCCTTTTGACTTTTAACATTTGTACTGCAATATATATTTAATATCACCTAGGAGAGGCTAAAACCTATGAATATGCTGCACTGCTGAGGGTAGCAAACCACCTTTCCTTTCTGAATGAAGGATTTAGGCCTGCTAATAGGTACAAAGTTCTCTCCAGAGTCCAGTCCCTCTGTAAGCCAGAGGCCTGCTACCAGAGGTTATCTTCCCTTCTCTTGTGACCTCTCCATCTCAACTGCTTTGGTTTTGGCTTTTAAAGAGGTTAGGGTTGGCAACTTTGGCTTCATTACCAAAGTCCAGATCAGCACTTTTCAAACTGTTCCAAGGAGATGCCTCTAGGATAAAGGGGAGGCTAAGTGGGTGGGGCCCAGCCCTCTTAAAAGAATTCATGGGGAGAAATTGTTCCACTCCTTTAAAACGTTTGAAAATCACAAATCTGGATATTGGTTTAGATGGAGTCGATACTTAGTGCAAAGTATATTTCAAACTACTCAGTTTTTGCATATTTTTAAACACGGTCTTCAAATGGACAAAAGGTCAAGTTTCTTCTTTTTTTTTGAGACTGAGTCTGGCTCTGTTGCCCTGGTTAGAGTGCCATGGCATCGGCTTAGCTCACAAGCAACCTCAAACTCCTGGGCTCAAGTGATCCTCCTGCCTCAGCCTCCGGAGGAGCTGGGACTACAGGCATGCGCCACCACGCCCGGCTTATTTTTTCTATATATATATTTTTAGTTGTCCAGATAATTTCTTTCTATTTTCAGTAGAGACGGGGTCTCGCTCTTGCTCAGGCTGGTCTCGAACTTCTGACCTTGAGCGATCCACCTGCCTCGGCCTCCCAGAGTGCTAGGATTATAGGCGTGAGCCACCGCGCCCGGCCAAAAGGTTAAGTTTCTATATTTCCTTTCTTCACCCCATTTAAACGCTAAAGTGGGCGTTTAAAAGTCAATGGGAAACAGCTAGCCCCAATGTAGCCTTTGAGAACAATAGGAAATTTATAAAATAATTATATACTTCCAGGTACTGATAGTCTGTTTTCATCATTATATGAAAATGAAATTAGGCATGACCAAAATTAGGGGTGTGTGGATTCGCACATGTGTTAAAGCATTTAAGAGCGATAAGACTGACAGGCGGAAGCAAATAGTATGCGGACACCAAAGTGAGAGCTTTTTTTCTCTTACAGAAACCGAGACTTATTTCCCAACGGGAAGGGCTTCTCTGACTGGGAAAGGCCTCCACTTCCTTCATTCTCATAAGCCAAATCTGATCCTAGCTTTGGGTAAATCTTCGAGTCCCTTCCCCAGTAAAAGGGGAGGCTTCCTTTAGGTAAGTAGATTAGAGGTCGCCTCTTCTCTGCCTCAAGATAAGGCCAAACGAGCCGGCGGCCTAGGGCGTTGGGACGACAGCGACAGCGACGCAGGGAAAAGAGGGAGAATCCGCGCCGTCCAGCGGCCCCGAGGCCTGTCAGCTCCTCTCACCCGCCCACCCAACCCCATTCTTCGGTCTAAACTTACCAGGTGGGAGCTACAGCTCTGGGCAGGGAGTAACTGGGTTGGGTCGGGTCGAGTTCCGCTGTGCTGCTTAGAGCCGCTGCTGGGAAGAGGCTGAAACCCAGCGGCCGCAGCAGTCGCTACCGCCTCTGTTACTGGGGGGTCTCGCCTCCATCGCTGGCTGCGAGGAGTCTGAGGGCACGTGACCGGAAGTACCATGGCGGCCCCCGGGGCACGTGACCCCAGACCGTGGCCGCCATGACACTTTCCGCTGGTCCCCTCCCTCCCCCACCGGTTCCCGCCTGTTTCTTTTCCTCTCTCCGGTCTCGAGCGGTCAAAGGTCCCAGGATCCTGGCTGGCCCACCCATTTGGCCTAGACCTCCTCCGGTTCTGGTCGATGCAGTGTCTTCAGCCTGCGGCGGCCCTCGAACTCCAGACGGTAGAGAGCGTAATCGCGACCGCGGCCTGAGGGGGAGGGACCACGCGCAAGGAGGGGCGTGGACCGTCACGTGATGAGGAACTGCCGTTAACAGCGTTGCCCCCGCGTCCCCGGCGCTCCTGGATGACGCAAGCCAGGAAGGGGAGGAGCGGGAGGGGAGACTGAAATTCAGGTTCCGCTTTCGGTCCGCTGTTAGTGGCCCGGCAACTAGCCGGGTGAGTAGGTCCGTTGCACAGAGAGTGGGAGCTGCTGGCCTGGATGTGCTGTAGCGGGGCCGGGACCTCCGGGATGCTGGTCTGTGAGCCTGGCTTTGAAAACTTGGTTACTGGGGCTCTTCTCATCAAGAGATCTGAATACAGTATTAAAGTTACTGCTGTTAAAAAGGTAGTTCTGCTAGGCGAGAAGCTTTTTGTGGGCAGGGACTGTATTTTGTTCATCCTTGTGTCTCCAGTCAATGAATGAATGAGTACATGAATGAGTGAGTCTCCATTTCTTTGTCTTTGGCAGAGAATCGTTCTCTGATCTTCTTGGATAGAAAGATTCCATTATCAACATGAGGAAATCTGGTACTTAACCTTCGCATCATTTAATTTTTATTCCCTTTCTTATACCTTTCGCGTCCCCTTTTTTTTCCATGCATCTAGTGGGGCAAAAGGGAAAACTGATTTATTTGCATTTGTTTTGTGAGCAGCGAACACTACTGTTTTGCGTTATCATCAAGTCATGCAGGAAAATGGAAAGATGATTAGATCTTGATTCAGGGAGAGATGCATTCTAATCTCAGCTCTCCCTGTTATGAACTCTGTGACCCTTGGGCAAGCCAGTCTCCCAGTTGTTTCATTGTCTTTGGTAAGCATTTGTCTGCAACTTCTGTATGCTTAGTTTTTTGCTAGGCTGGAGCTGTGACAGATTTCACAGAAGAAACATGTAAACTCAGCTTTGCAAAAAGATAGGGTTTTGTTAAATGCGAGAAGATTCAAAAAACAGGCATATATTAAACCATAGAGGCATAATAAGTTTATAGAGTGAAAGAGAAATAAAAGATGGTCCAATACAGTTGGAGAATAGAAGGGTAAAATAGGATAAATCCCAAAATTATATAAGAAGGAGAGCTATTGAAGGTTTGTACAGAGGTTTTTCTTTTAAAGTGTATACTTTTAAAGCTTTTTATTACGAAAAATTTCAAACTTAGACAAAGTAGACAGGATGATAAAATGAACCCTTATGTATATGCAACCGAGCTTGAACAATTAGCATTCTGCTATTCTTGTTGGTACTGAGCCTGTAAATTTCTAGGTACTTTTTATTATATCCATTGTTGCATTTGATTAATAGCAGCTTTCAATTTGAGCTCAATTCTACTGTATGTGGGTACTGGCTAGGAAGATTTTATTATGTGAAAAATTTCTTTGAGTTTTAGTTGACTGCTCTGTTGAATCAACAGTGTAACATGGCCACTTTAAAAACACAGCTAAGTATTTTAGCATGTAATATAGAAAGTAAGTGTCCAGATTGAGGAAGTTAGTGTTTCTATTCTATTCTGGGCTCATCCAGCTACTTAAGGAGTATCATGTTCAGTTGTAGGCACCTCATTTTCAGGCAAACTAAAGTGCCTCTCTGTCAAAGGTTGACCAGAATGGAGAATTTGGAAATTGTCACATCAGGAATGGTGGAAGTGTGGGGAATGTTAAATTTTTAGAAGACCTGATAATGCTTTTCAAATACTAAGGGGTTATTTTGGAAAGAGTAGACTTATTCAACTGTAGAAGCCACAATTAGGAATAATGCTAAGAGCTCTAAGTGATCAGATTTCAGTCCAATATTAAAAAGGCCTTGTATCAGTGAGCACTGTGGAGTACTGGAATTGGCAGTGTCGTGAGAGTGAGTGCTTTCTTTCCGTTGCTGAAAATGTCAGGGATCTAGGGCAAAACCAATTTCTGAGTTTGGTAGATGTGTGCACAGAATTACCTTTGAGTCCTCTTCCACCTTGAGAATTCTGAGAAGTGGGGCTTACATGGGATCTTGGAGGCTGGGTAGATTTGGATAAAAAGAGCTGGAGGGGAACCAGTCATTTCACGGAGAGTTAACGTAAAGAAAGGTATAAAGTTGGAATTGGTTTAACACTGTCACCCAGCAACTGCTCTTGAGAACTAACATTACTTATGCTGTTTTATTTTCCATTCTCATCTCCGTTAAATCTTTTTTTTTTTTTTTTTTTTTTTAGGAAGAAACTTAACTAGGTTCTCTTCTCCCATTATGTCATAACTTCCAGCATATTCTCTTTTCACAAAGATCAAAACAAAATGGCCTATCCACTTCAGTTTCTTTGTTTCAAGATCACAAGTGAAAGAGACATTATGGTCTTGATATCATTTCTTTCTATCACTTTTGGATTTTGTACCATGGTTTTATCTTTTTCTTGTATCTTCAGTCACTTTCATTTTAAAGACTCTGCTTTTAGGCTGGGCGTGGTGGGTCACGCCTGTAATCCTAGCACTCTGGGAGACTGAGGTGGGAGGATTGCTTGAGGTATGGAGTTGAGAGCAGCCTGAGCAAGATCAGGACCCCTTTGCTACCAAAAATAGAAAAAAATTAGCTGGGCGTGGCGGCGCTTACTTGTAGTCCTAGCTATTTGGCAGGAGGATTGCTTGAGCCCAGGAGTTTGAGGTTGCAGTGAGCTACAGTGACACCACTGCACGGTAGCCAGGGTGACAAAGCGAGACTGTCTCAAAAAAAAAAAAAAAAAAAAAGACTCTGCTTTTACTGGAGGCTGAGGTGGGAGGATTGCTTGTGGCCAAGAGTTAGTTGTAGGCTACAGTGAGCTATGATTGTGCCACTGCACTCCAACCTGGGCCACAGAGCAAGACCCGGTCCCTGAAAAAATAAAACAAGTCTCTGATTTTAGCTACTACCTACTAATCCATCTGAGTCTTCCCTTTTTGGAAAGTCATGAGGTTTTCTCCTTTTCCACCAGACTTCTTGAGTAATTGGAATGCTTTATCTTCGCTTCCTCACCACCCACCCTTTTCCCCAAGTCCTTGTTTTCTAGCATCTGCCCACATCACTTTACGGAAATTATGTGACCTCCCAACACCAAATTCTTCAATGCTTTTCTGTTGCCTGCCAAATTAAGTTCCTTGGTTTGAAATTCAAAGTATTTTGTAACTTGGGCCCAAATTACTATCCCAGCTTTATCTTTCATTACTCCACTACGTGTATCTGATGTTTCAACCAAAGACTAAACTCGTATTCTCCAAATATATTCTGCATTTTTTCATCTCTGTATCTTTGCCTGTTGCTGCCCTACCTGCTACTCTTTTCCTTTTCCTTCAGAGAAAAGCCTATTCGGCATCAGTGCTACTTCCCTTGGGAAGTTTTCTATGGTTCCCTTTATTTCAATGTGATCCCTCTGTCCTAACAGAGCACTTTGCTTATGTTTCCCTTATAAGACCTGTGTGTGTGTGTGTGTGTGTGTGTGTGTGTGTGTGTGTTATTTGTCTTTGTCTCCCTATTTAATTATAAACTGACTGATTTCTGGAATTATTTTGCTTGACTTGTTTCCACCACCTGTGCCTGATGTTTTACTAGGTACTCAATGAAATGAATGAAAAGAATGAGGAAATATTTTTCTTAGATGGGGATCAGGAATTCTCAAATGTTTTGAGTATAAGCATACTAAAGTTTCCTTTTTTTTTAGAACACCATTCTCCTTGCAAAGGTCAAGTTGTATTAAGAGCAATGTTAATAGCAGAAGACAATACCATATTATGTGTATGCAGTAAAAAATATCATAAGCTTCTGTATGTTTTTTCACTAGAAAGTATGCTCTTGAGGGTTCGGTCTTTGTTTTGTCCTCCATTGTTATCTCCAGGACCTAGAACAATGCCTGGCACATAGGTGGTGCTCAGTATGTATTTGTTGAATAAATGAATAAATACATAATGTTCCTTAAAGTCAAGAACACAAAACAAAGTATAAACATAAAGCAATTAAGTATAAACAGTTGTTTCTGAATTTTTCTGTTGTATTAAATTGCTTTTTAATTTGGCAGGTAGCAAATGATTGAGGAAAGTTAAAATTAATGGGTAGAATTTCTTAAATTTTCTTTTTATTTCCTTTTTTTCTGGAAAATTGGTACAATTTGACAAAAATGTGCACTTGAGAGTAGTTGAACAGATTAAAAACTCTTGTGTTAGTTTTGCAAGTCCTCATGGGGTATTTGGCATTTGCTACCTTGTATTCTTATCTGTATTCATTCCTGTCTAGTCTCTTTTGTTAAAGCTCTTACTCTTTGTTCTCTGATGCCTGCTGCTTACTTTTCACTTAGTAGGTGCATTCATTCATTCAACATACTTACTGAGACCCTGCTAGGCTGGAGAGAGAGGTCCAGAGGCCTATTTCTATTACGTACTGTTCAATTGTTAGCTGATAACTGTAGTGCTTGCTAATAAGGGTTTCTAATTTGAGGCCTTTACAGAAGATAGCATTTTAATAAGGAGCTCTTAAAGACAAGAAAATTTTCAACTCAAAGAAATGCAGCAGTGAGCTGGGTATTAATATTTTACCTCAGAGGAGCTTGACCAATTTTCCTTTTTTTTTTGAGACAGTCTCACTCTTTTTGCCCGGGCTAGAGTGAGTGCTGTGGTGTCAGCCTCGCTCATGGCAACCTCACACTCCCGGGCTCAAGCAATCCTTCTGCCTCAGCCTCCCGAGTAGCTGGGACTACAGGCATGCGCCACCTTGCCTGGCTAATTTTTTCTATATATTTTTAGTTGTCCAATTAATTTCTTTCTATTTTTAGTAGAGACGGGGTCTCGCTCTTGCTCAGGCCGGTTTCGAACTCCTGAGCTCAAACAATCCTCCCGCCTCGGCCTCCCAGAGAGCTAGGATTACAGGCGTGAGCCACCGCGCCCAGCCCCAATTTTCCTTTTAAATCCTACTGTG